AAAATGAACCTAAAAAGGTTCAACTCATTTATTTATATATAGAATAGTCAAACTACTTAGACTCGACTCGGTTCAGACTCGACTCATTTAGAAAAATGAGCTCGATAGATAAGTGCCAACCTTGCTAGATGTCTCTTTCCAATATTGGATTGCAACTTATAGTACTTGCCATTTTGAAGCAATCCCTTGAAAATAACCTGTGCAATAATTCTTGACAAGGTTAAGTGAGAGTTGTATTCATCAGTGTCTCTCAGAGACATCAAAGATGATCATTCATAGTGCAAGTATCTTCATAAGCAACTGGTCACATTTTACCAAGCTGCCTACCATTGCTTGTTAGGTCAAAGAACCGAAAATGTATACAGTTGCCAATTCGATATCTACCTTAAGCTTGACTCATTTGCAATTTAGATATAGAGTTTACTGCTGCCAAACATGCTTGTAGCAGGGGATCTCAAATTACATTGAGAAGAAACCACTCTCAGTATGCTTTTCAGAAAACCTCTGTTGAAGATGGCGAGACTCGAATTTCAGTGTCTGTAGCTTCCGATTGATAGTAAAAACAGACCCTTGAGGAAGACTAGGTGAACATATCTTACAAATAATTATGGCTTTAAATGAGGCAAGGATTGCAATTGTGCACCATCATATCATGTCTGATCACCTTGAAACAGATTTGACTTTTACCCCGACTAATCCAACTGCTTGTTAATCATCTCCAACAGTTCACGTATTTCTTCCATCTGAGAATGTGTTTTCTCCCCCGCAACAAACTCATGTACAATGCCATTGATTTCAAGTGAGCTGCAACCTGGTGTCTTGTCTATCCCTCGGCTTTTCATCATTCTCCTTACTTTCCTCGCACTATCATGGTTACCTACAGCAGAATATGTGTTTGAGAGCAGAACATACATCCCACTATGGCGCTCTAAGTGCACTAATCTCTCTACTGCTACGTCAGCCAATTTCATTTGTCCATCATAACAGCAAGCGCTAAGCAATGCTCTCCAAGCTACTGCCTCCTCAGAAGCATCGCTCAATCCTGGCATTTTCTGAATAATATCCTTAGTTTCTTCAAATAGACCAGATCTACTGAGGAAGGCAATTATGCAACCATAATGTTCACTTTTGGGCTCAATATTGTACACATTACACATTCTATCCAACACCCGTAGGCCTTCATTCGCCATGCCAGAATAACTACAAGCAGTGAAAACGGCAATGAATGTAATGTCATCAGGCCGGACTCCAGACTTTTCCATCTCCAAAAACAACCCGAGAGCACGCTTTCCGTCTCCATGAATTGCCAATCCTAAAATCATAGCATTCCAACAAACAGTATCTCTTTGAGGCATTTCATAGAACACTTTTTCAGCTAAATTCAAACACCCACATTTCGCATACATATCTATCAGAGCAGTACCTAACCGAACACTCAACCGCAACCTGAGTTTATCCGCGTAACTGTGTATCCATATGCCAATATCAAGAGCACCCAAATGAGCACAAGCACAAAGTATACTCACAAATATAGCCTCATCAGGCTCAATACCACTCCACTGCATTAACCTAAACAATTGTAATCCTTCCTTAAAACAATTATTTTGCACATACCCAGAAATCATAGAACCCCAAACTCCTACATCCTTCACTGGTGCTTCATAAAAAATCAAGCTTGCCGTCTCAACATCACCTTTTTTGGCGTACCCAGAAATTAAAACTGTCCATGACACAACACAGCGGCTAGGAATTTCATCAAACACAAACCTTGCAGCTTCCATGTTATCAAAAGCAGAATACATTACAATCAAAGTATTACCCACAAATATATCAAACAAGAAACCCAGTCTCAAACAATGCCCATGAATTAATTTTCCAACATCGCAATTTTTCATGTTTGCACAAGCTTTCAACAGGTAAGGAAGCGTATAATTATCAGGGTACATGCCCTTCCCCAACACGTGTCTGTACATTTCTACTGTCTTGATTAGTTGATCCCTCAGCAAGAACGCTTTTATCATTGTGTTAACTATGCAGATTGTTGGGTGTTCAATTTGTTCAAAGATTTTTAATCCATGAGAGAGGCTGCCACCAAGTGGTTCTGAGCAGAAGGCCAATAGCCTGCTTAGGGCAAAGCCATTATTTCCAAGCCCGTATGTGATTAGCTGTGCATGAGCTTGCTTGAGTTGCTTCATATTCTTACATTTCTCCAACAGCAAGAGGCATCTCTTGCCACCCACCACCTTCATTTACCAGGGGACAACAATTGTGCTGCATAAATACAGACAATTGGCTCACAATTAACCCGACCTCAACCCACGAAGCAGAAATCACTCATACATGAGAGAAGCTTAATAGCCGGTTGGGTACGAGGGAAAGATGGAGGGATGGAAAACGGAGGAAGGAAAAAAACATTTTCCTTTGTTTGGTTGAAGAGGAAAAATGGAAGAAAAGGAAAAGTTAGTGGAAAGATAATCCACTCAGCACGCCATTTTTAATCACTCCAAATTTGGGCGGAAACTGGAGGAAAAAGTGAAAGGGTTGGTTCAAGGGCTTTTTTGATATTTTGATTTATAATATGTTCCTCTTATTTTACTTTTTTTTACACTAAACAAAATAATAAAAAA